ACAACAAATTAGAAGATAACAAAAGCCTTTTCCTAGCTTTTTTCTCTACATTGAAATTATAAGATACTCCGGCGAGGTTTTTGAATTGGAAAAATAATCCAACAGATGTGCAAACTTAGTACAACAAAAAAATATTAAAAAAAAGAGTGCATCAGAGATTAAGAGAAATAGAAGTTAGTGATAAGGAAAAGGAAAGTATCTTATGATTTATTCGTATGGCAACATCATATCTTCCTATTAGCTTTAAATAATTTACTTGTACGTGTAATAATTTCTTTCCTGTGATTTATGGCAACACATGCTTTCTGTAATCATGTATATATGTAACTGATCAAGTGCAACAATATAATGAAGTACTATTGCCTTAATTTTGTGTGCTGTTCTTTGAGTCATTAATTAGTTGGAAGTTAGATTGGGATTATACAATATATGCTGAAATGATCGCTAATTTCTTTATTGGTAATTTCCATGTAGGAAACTCAAATAAGAAAACTCTTGGTCAGTGTATGGCATATTCAATACAAAAAAGAAGAAGAAAAAAGCAGAAGTTAAATTACTAATGGTATTAACAAATATAATAAAACGGTCAGAAAACCAAGAAAAAAAATAATAAAACGGTTATAATCTAGATATAGATTTAATCAAAAAGCATTCAAGACTACTATGGCCAACTAAAAAAAGACATTCAAGACTAGTAAAGAGTTTAAGAATTGTCACCTTGAGTTGGAAACAAGCCCAGGTCCTTGCGCAATTGCATCAAAATGCTCTATTCCCCTACCAACACAGATGGCACAAGGGCTCAAAATCACTGAAAAGGGGATGGAACATGTTATGGTTTGCCATAATGTGGTCATTATGGTTAAATAGAAATGAAATTGTGTTTCAACACAAGAAGCTTGATGAGGATAAATTGTTTGAACTTGTACAAATTTGCTCATTTCACTAGGTTAGAACTCTGTTGAATTTCAAAAATCTCTTTTTCATGAAATGGATTTCTAACCCAGTGAGATGCTTGACTAGTGGAAATAGAGGTTAATGGGGAGCTAGTTTCTAGTTTCTTTGTTTGAAATCTATTGTTTTTGTATATTAGCCCCCAATATTTGCCTCTAATCACACATACTGATGTTTATGGGTCTAAGTATCCTTTGTACTCAAATAATAAAATGCTTTAGCTTTTCAAAAAAAAAAAAAAGAAAAAAAAGCTCTATTCCTCTGTCCTTTCCCATCCTTGCTTCTATAGCCACAACCCCAGTACATTTTTGTAGTATATCACCCTTCATCAAGTTGTTTTCCTCTATATCACAACCCCCACCCACCTTCGCCGGTTATATCAGTTTCACGGGCAAGTCTTCAAAGTTCGAAGATTCCAATGGGTGAATACACCACTCATATTCTAATTTCTCATAAAAAGAGAAGCACGGCCAAAGCCATGCTCTTAATTGAATAAGCAAGGTCATATTTGGCAATTAGTATGCATAAGGTAGAGGGGGAACGAGCAAAAGGGGGAAATATATTAGGGATTATGTGGCAATGAGTGGGGCATACAAAATTTTTGCAATAAAAAATAATAGTTGCAAACTAAACTGTCAAAAAAGCCACTGTTAGTGAGATGTTAGTAACGGTGTTAGAGAAAAGAGGACACTGTGATGCTTTCTTGGAGTAGAGGGAGGAGGACAATTGCATGGTTGTTATAAGAGTAGAAGGATGAACGGTTTGTGAGTACTAGAATGACAATGAACGGAAATCTAAAGTAGAGAGACTATAGTTGGCTTTGACCCTATTAAAAAAATCACTTTTTATTTTCGGTGGAAAAAAATCACTTTGCATTAATGAATTTGGATCTACTTGTTAAATTGTACACTGTTGGTTTATAAATCATTAGGATATTTGTTCTACATGTTGATTTGGAGAAAGCATTTTTGCAACATGTGGTGAAGAAAGGTGAGCATGGGGTGGGAGGTTATTTGGTTTGCAATGGCTTGAACTCTTTGGTTGGGTGGGAATGAACAAATCCTTAATAGCGTTGTAGTGGAGGTGAAAAAACTATTGACTCTTGTGCAGGTGATATCTTATCATTTGATTGTAGGGAGAGCAAAGGAATTGGTTTCTCTTTCATAGAAAGGATAACTAGACCAAGGATATGCACCAGACAACTAGCTACTTGCAAAAATGGCAATTTGTTGAATGGAAGGCTGTTGCAACAAGTGAAAAATCCCATCCTTGTTTGATTATATTTTAAATAACAGTCCTAGGATACTGAGGACTTAATTGAATAATTTGAAAGTTAAAGGTTTGCATGGCAAAACCCAAAACTGTGAGATAGTGGGCTGCTTTTTCCAAAGCCACTACCTGGAGATTCATGAGGTGGCATAGACAGATTCCACCAACAAAATCCCCATGGTTATGGCTGAATTAAAAACCCATTTCATGCTATTTACCACATTATGATCTCATTGCTTTTCTCTAGTCGAGAGAAGCTTTGCAACCTTAACAATTTCCCTTTCCTTTTTCTATTCAACCGAAGGAAATGAAAGGAGATTTGGGGAACTTTGCAGCGGCAGTAAAATTGGAAGAAATGAAGAAATGTTTGTTCAACTCTTGCATTTGTGGGTCGAACCAGCAAAGGAGAATAACCAAAGGAACAGCTGCACATCAGTGGGAGAATTTGAAGAAATCCAAGGGATTCTACCAAGAATAGTATTGGGCTTTGTGAGGTAACTATAGATTATGAATTTGGTAGCTGTAATTGAAGTTAAAATGATATTTGTCTGGTTAAATATGATCCTAGACTAAAGCTAGTGCAAGAAATAGGCTTAATAAAGAAGAATGCTTAACCTGCAATTGAACATATGAAGTAGGACATGGTTAGCTGTTGTATCCAAACCATATATGATTTGTTATTTTCGTGAATTAAGCTTGAAGTTCTAAGAATCTATTAACTATGAAAGATACTAAATGGACTAATTAACATGCAAGTCGAATTTAATTGTCTAGCCATGTCTAGGCTATAAGTCAACGCTGGATTAAAGTTGAGACTACATGTTGGACATGTAGATATGGCTTTTGAAAGCTTTAATTGATGCAAGCTATTGTGCTATTCTGTTGTGATTTAATATTAAATAGTCTTGCCATAACTAAAGTACAAGTATGGCAGTGTATAGAATGCTGTTTATATGAGCTAAAGAATGAGAATTGATTTATGACATAAGACTGGATCATTTTACAGGTTGCTTAAAATCAATGGTATGATACCTGAGCTAATGGCTAGGTAAGATACTCCTAAAGTTACCTGGAGTAAAGAATGATGATGCTTCTAATGAATTTAGAGTAAAGAAATAAGACATCAAGAAAGATACTTGAGCTATTGAGCTAGGTAGAACCCAATTGGATTGGGTGCGTGAAGAAAGATATCTAGATCCACTACACATTAGGAAGAACCATGAAGAACCATTGGTTGGACCATTGGTATGGTGTGATATACACCCACAAGGAAAAATCCATAGATAAGAACTTGTATTCATCTACATGTTGAACAAGCATAAGGCAGCCTTGCAATTATCTTATGGTTATTGGAAGTATTTATGTCACATTTATTTATGCTATTGATGAAACTGTTCAGTATTGCTGAGCAGCGTTCGATGGAATTGATTATGTGCTTCTTGAGGTAAAGGAATGTATTTTCTGGTTTGTTCTAGAATGGAGACCAAGTAAGCATGTGCTTGGATTGAACTTACCTGTTCTAAATTTGATAGTTCTAATTTAGAGAATATGGATTATTTTTGAGATGATGATTTGTCTATATCTAATTCTTGTATCTTGACATAAGTTTTATATGGAAGAACAATGTAAGTTAATTGATGGAACTTATTAAGTTAAATTAAGGTTTCAATAATGGCTCTTAAGTTATAACCTATGCTTATTGGGCTGCATAGCTCTTGGTGTATTGTTCACCTTGTTTCAAGTTAGCTAGTGAAGAGATCAACAATTTTTGGGGGACTAAGAGTTTCCTACAATTGCTAGTTGTGAACAAGCTTTTTAGGCTTGTTGAGGTAACTTGTATCTGCCCAAAGCTAAATCCCGGCTCAATATTTTGTAAAAGAACTATGCATTAATTTTGAATTTTTTTTTTTGAAAAGCAAAGAAATTATATTAATGTGAGTACAAGGGGTACTCAAACCCTTAAACATCAATGTGTAAAGCTATTGGTAGAATTGTGGACTAAATACAAAAAGCCAAGAATACTCCATAATAAGA